TGGCAAGCAGACTTTATGTGTTTGATCCACACAGCGCTTTTTCAAAAACTGAAATGGTTTCAATGTTTTAGTAGTGAATATTGTGTGTGTTGCCGTCTCCCCAGAAACACACAAATCCAATGCAAGACCCACTGACCCCGTGCCATGTGCAGTGGAGGGAATCTATGAAGGTAAAGGGATACCCAAAGTCAAAGGTAGTTCAATGGCTGAGCCCTGACCTTCTGACTACCACATTCAAGACTCTTTCTGAGTCATCTGGGAAAATACAAAAGCAGGGGGCCTGGGTCCAGGCAGACCCTTCTCTCTCACTTGCCACAGCCCTGTGGGTCCTTCTGCCATATCCTGCTGCCTCCCCCCACCCTCCCCAAGGTGAAGGCTGCACAGCCAGTAGTCCTGCTCCAGTTTTTAGGCTCTTCCTGGTCCTGGGAGTCTTTATATGGGCCATTTCACACCCAGTCAAGGATTTGGTGGGGAGGGGACCTATATTCAAGGCAGTCATTACAAACATTGTGAGGTCAGTACAGCCCAGCATGGCTGGCTCCTACCTGGGTATCAAAAGTGATCCTCCAGACAAAAAAAGTGACCCTCCAGCAAGCGGAGTTCTCATCCTGGGTGGGAGTGGGAGGAAACGTGCTGTAGGAAGAATTGCTCAACCCTGGGTGGTGGAGAGGACGGGGCAGATTGAGGATTCCGGGGCAGCTACACACATCTCTAAAAGTCCTTCCCTTAAAATAACGTCACAAGGAGTTTGATTATAGCAAAAATGGGCCAGTTACAGGAATTTACACAGCATGGGACAGTGTGAGCCAGAGATGAGTGGGTCCCCAGGGGTCCTGTCTGGTACTGGAGGAGACGGGAGTCTGGGGCCTCTAAGGACAGTGTTTTTCTAGGTCAGGCCTGTTAGGGTTCTGAGAAGGCAGGAACCAGGCAGTTTCTGTGCCCATAAGTAGAACTACTGGGGTTTCATGTGCTTGAGACAGGGGTCCATCATCCTCCAATATGGGGCAGAGGCTCTCTCTGGAATCAATTTCCCTGCCACTATCACTAAATCTATCATAATAGGACTTTGAAGGATTTTATTTCCCCAGAACTGGTGATTAGAGTCCCAAACTAGGCATATAGAGATGCTTAGCATCCGTATCCTAAAGAACAACCAGGGCTGACACTCTACCCAAGGATAACTAATACAATATTGAATTAGTGCCACAGTTAACCACCCTCTCCTCATCCCAACTGTAAGAGAAGAGGGGTAAGAGAAAGGAGAGAGACAGCCAAGAATCACTGGATTGCTTCCTCTCCTCTCCTCTTGAAGCCAAAAAAAGCAGGGAGGCTCTGAGACAATTGTTCCTGCAGACTCAAGCTGGCTAACAGGCCTGGCATCTCGTTTCCCTGCCAGACATACACGCAGCAGCCTCCTCCACCTATTGAAGCAAAGGAGAAGGAAAGTGGGGAGAGATGTGGGGCCAGGAGGGGGCCAGCCTGCACCCTCTCCACGTGGCAAGGCCAGGGAGTGTGGATTTCCCGTGGGTGAATAGACATCCCAGCAGGGAGCCAGCCATAACCACATTGTAGGTGCAGCACCAAAGGCAGGGTCTTTAGAACAACGTGGACATGGGGTGTATTGGTACACATTTGTGCGGGTCAGCAAGGAAGAGGTCAAGTCAGGGCTGTCCCGCCCACATCAAGGCCCTGGGACCGGACATGTGCCCGATATGAGGCACCTGAAGGCTTGCACCTGGGAAGGCCAGTGTGAGTCTGAGAAGCCGCCACACTGAACACACAGGTTACGGGCGCTGTCTGTTAGGAGGCCCTCATCATCTTCCTCTCCCTTCTCTTTACTTACCGCCTCAGAATTGCTGGGTCAGGTCGAAGTGGAGGAGGACCTTCTCAGAGCTGTGTCTCTGCTGCTCCCCTGCAGGCAGTTGGGGTACCAGCACAAGACTGTGCCAGGCAGGGAGGGGAGAAGACTTAAACCCAGCTACAGATCAAAGTTCTGTAGCTGGACAGCACTGAGCTTGTGAGTTACTGAAGTGACTGGGAAGTTATGGAACTACCTGATTGTCATTAAGGGTTCCACCACACAGTGGAAGGATGATGCAGCAGCAGACAGCTGAAAGTGGAGACTGCGGAACACGCAGGAGTTTCCCATGTTCACCTGAGGGCACTGAGGTTTCTCAACAAACCACTCTCCCCCAGCGTCTCCTGGGCCTCCCCTCTCTAAGTTTCCGGACTGTGAGGATAGCAGCACCTCTGCTGAGGCTACAGGGCCTCAGCTACCTAGAGGTGGCTTCCAAGTGGAGGGTGGGGAGCTCCCCCCAAACCCAGGAAGGCACGCATTCCCCTTAGAGTTCATAAATGTGATGGACCCTTCAGAGGTAACACACATAAAATGCACCATGTAAATGGCAAAAGTCTCCTTGTTAGAAGACAATGTAAAAATAGCAATTTTTTCATCAAAATAGAAAAGAAAGCACAAAGACAATGTACACTGTGATAGTCACCAGAGTTCACCAAATATTTCTGATTCTATTTCCAGGTACTCACCAGCTGCCTTTGAGTTGGGTAGAACCATGGGGTTTGCTGTCCTCATTGCAATGGGAGCCAAATGACAAACAAACATCACTTCCAGATGGAAGTTTTAAGAACCAGGGCGCAATTTACCACCTCCCTTTGTCCTGCCTCCAAGACCATGGAGCATGGAGCCTCCGTTAGCCAGGGCTCTAGTGACGCCGAGGTGGCTATATCGCAGAATTGAGGAAACACCTTGTGTTGTAAGCCACTGAGGATGGAAGGGGTGCAGGTCTTTCTCGAGTCCTATGAGTCTGTCTATCGTCCTGCAGAGGGACCACAGCCAAGGATGCAGTGGGTGTGACCACTGAGCATGTGAATTATTAGGTTAACTGCAGACAGGCCTAGTCTGGGTTGCTACCTATGGATCATCTATCCTTAGCAGAGTGAACTTTGACAAGGGGGACACAGGCAAAAGAGCTGTCATAGGGTGAAAGGAAAAAGCGGCGGGCCGGGGCGGGAGGTGATACAGAAGCTGCATGGATCAGGTGTTGGCTGGGGGTGGCGCAGAAGAGTAGAAGGAATTGGCCAGATTGCCCCACTCAGATCTGACAAGAAATGACAAGGGACACCTGTGTCACAGACCCAGAACCAAGGTCATGGCCTATTGCCTTGTCAATTCATGAAAGTCACACAAAGGGTGGTAGTGAGCCAAGCCCTGGAGTTGAGAGCTTGAATTGGTAGATTGCTGCATGAAAAGATTAAGTTTCTGTACTGTGGAAAAAAGCCAAACACCACAGACCAGAAGGTCAGCATGCCTGCGAAGGTCTTCAGCCTGCTTGGCAAGCACACCTGGCCTTGTGTGTTCTCAGGAGCTGGGGAGTAAATGGCCAGGTGCAGGGCCTGGCTGTCTCTGGTTTTGTTTTGTTTTGTTTTGTTTGTTTTAATCTACAAGGGGCTTGATGGTGCCAGTTCCCTGCCCCACACCCCTATCCTGTTGGGAACAAGGGGTGAGTTCTGGCCTGGGGCCTCTCCTTGGTGGAATTGCAGGGCCGATCCCTACTCACCTCTCCATACCTGACTGAAAAAGTCCCTGTCTCCCCGTCCCTGCAGAGCCCCGGCACAGCATAGGAGCCTCATGTGGAGGAAGAAGCAGAGTGGATGTACCTTGCACTTTTCTTTGCCTCTTGGCCTGCCATCCTTGGTGAAAGCAAAGGAAGGCAGGGCAGGGCAGGGCAGGGCTGCCGGCTGGCCCAGTAAGCAAGAGTGCGAGCTTAGGTCTCTCTGCTGGGAGCAAGGTCAACGTCAAATCTCCCAGCGAGGTCCTGCAAGGGCAAATGCCTTCCTTAGTTCTTTTCCCCAAATCCCTGAAGGTTGTGACAGGCTTCTGCAAAGCAGTGGTGTTTAAGAAAACCCTTTACTTCGCTAAAAAAAAAATACACTCAGACCTGAATGCAGCTCCCAGCGTCTTAACTGGGCAAGAGAGAGAAGGTTGCAGTTCTAGCCCCTCCAGGGCAGCAGCCGGGAATGGGCAGCTCTGCAGGCCTGCAGCCGGAAATCTGAGGGGATGCCTGCTCTGCCCTTTCCAGCTGGGTGGCCCCCATCCTAGGTCTGAGTCCACAGTTGGGAAATGGGGACAAAGATAACTATGTCACTGGGTTGTGGTGAGTATTACACATGACAGGGCCAGTAGATGCAGTGAGCACAGTGTGGGCAACTCGGGGAGTGACCGGAACTGCTGCCCTTTCTTCTGAAGCCATGGGAAGGGGCTTGTGTGACCACATTCCAGGGCTTAGAGTCTTTCCCAGGAAAGCACAGCAGAAGGAAAGGTTGGAGGAGAGTTTTCCCAGAGGAATTATCTTCCATTCACCTGTGAAGGACGATAGGGCAGAGTGTGCAAAAGGAGGCAGTCGTTTCCAAGGATGGCTATGTGTAGGGCGTTTCCAAGGATGGCAAGAGGGAAAGAGGCCAGTCACTGTGGAGAAAATCTAGAGATCCTCACCCCTGCTGCCATCCTGGTCCTGAGGTCCTCCAGCTCCACAAACCAGACCAGCAGCCTCTGCCAGCCAGAATATGTACCACAGAGCAGGGGCACAGACCGCAGGAACCCTGCTGGGGGTCTGCTGCCCACCTACAGTGGCACCTAGCCCAGGGGCTTGTGATCTGGATGGGGCCAATGCACCCACTCCCACCAGCCTGCGCCTAGGGAATGGGCTCCCCTCCACCCCGCCCTGCCCCCAAAGCTCTGCCAGTAACATTTCCTACATTCCAGTGGTGTTTGAAGGGGAGAAGGGAGAGGGGCCTCCCTGGGGCAGGTGTGTGGCTGGGGGGAAGGGAGGAGCACGGAGAGGGGAGGAGCATGGAGAGTGCAGCACCACCCAGCGGCCCTGCTGGGTTCCCTGACAGGTATGTCACTAACTGCACAGGGACGAAACCTGCTAGGAAACAGAGACTTTTCATCAGAGGAAGCCACCCAAAGAAAGAGGCAACAATTGCCAAGTTTTATCCCTTTTTATTTTTTATAAAACAAGCTACAAATAGTTTCCCTCCCTCCCTCACAAAGGAAAACCACAGCCTTCACACGTGTTAGGGACAAGATGCCTACAGGAGATTCTGGACTTGTACAGCAGTGCCTTCTCCCCACGGACATGCTTCCTCCATGCTGGAAATGGGGCTGGGGTCTCCTGCAAGGTCCATCCAGCTCCAGCACTCTGTGTTTTCTGGTCAGGGCCAATGGGAAAGGGCTTCCTTTCCACCTTACCATGCCAGGGTGGGATCACTAGTCCCTGAGACAACCTCTAGGACTTTCTCCAGGATACTGGGGACCTTCTCTAGCCCAAGACCTCATCAGATCACGTCCTGGGAGGGCCATGCCCCTCCCATGGGGCAGCACTATGGTGTCAATGCTTTCCAGACCCAGAATGCTATACATAGCCTGCCAAGGCAGAGACACTTAGGGAACACTGGGCTGGAATGCAAGATGAGGCCAGATTTCCCAGAGTAATCAGACAAGGGCACCGGTGAGGGGCTACCCGACCTCCCTCACTGCCAGCACAGCTGCTCATGCAAGAGGCACTAAGGGTCACTGTCAGTCTGTCTGGAGGCCCCCTAGGTGGGCACACCACCCGGACAAAGGAAGCTGTGCAGCTGACCCCAAGGCTGTGCCGCCCACACTGGGCATCCCAGCAAAATCCCTGGGGAAAGCTAGGCCTGGGCTTCCCCACAGCTGGCCCATTATTCTGCCCTTCTCAGGAGGCAGAAGTAGCAGGTCCAAGATCAGTTTCATGTCTAGAAATGGCCTAAAAGCTGGAAGACCACAAGAAAATTTAAGGGAATAGAATTTAAGGGAAAAGAACCTCAGCATTGGGTTAAGAAAAACAATTGAACAACTATACTGTTACCAACAAGGTGACCAACCCCACTCACTCTCAGGCCCGAGACACCACTGAGGACAACAGTGGGCGTGGAGGAGAGGTGAGGTCAAAGCTGTCTGCCTCGTGCTAAGACAGCCGTGTCTCTGGGCGCCTCTAAGTTTTCCTGTTGGCGCCACAGTCCTGGGTGCAGGCTTTCTGTCCTCCTCCCCCCACTGCTCAGATATGAAACATCTACTAAAACAAAAATAAAAAACCTGCTGTGTGTCTTTTTCTTCTTTGTCCCCCCCCCCATGCTGTATACAGTGCTGATACCAAACATGGATGAAAATGTTTAAACTGACCTAAGCTTTGTGGATAGTCTGCCCAGGGGTTCACTAAGATACTGGTGCACCCACTGGCCCAGGGTCCCCGGGGGTCTGGATACCATGAACACATGGGCCAAGCGAGGCTGGTGCCTGTGCCGGCTACTCACAGACCTGGACTGCCCCCTCTCCAGGGGCAATCCCACCTCTCCTAACTCAGTCTCCCAGGAGAAGGCCAAGCGACTTGTCAACGTTGACAACAAATGGCTTAAGGCAGCACGGTTCTCCCACCAAAAAAGAGCCGGTGGAGCCACGATCACAGGGCCCCCCTTCTACAGATACATAAGTACCAGTCTCCAAACAGAATCAGGTAGGCTGAGGATAGTGTCCCGGGTTCTAGAAAGCGGGACCATGTGTGTGTCCAGCGTGCCCACAACCCACAGCATGGAGAGGGGAGGAATAAACAAACGGCAATGCCAACACCTGTACAAAAGAACTATACAATTTACATATATATTTATGTACAGTATATAAATCTCTTCTCAGCCCCGACGACACCCTCCCTTCCCCCCCAAAACCTAAAAGTTGTCAGTAGCAAATCAAAAACTTAACAATAAGAAAAAGAATAAACAGTCTTTCTTCCCTTTCCTTTCCCCACTGTGGTATTAGATATTGGTGTTTAAAAATGAAACCAAAAACAAAACGTGAAAGTAAGAGTCATTAAAAGTGCAAACATGGTGGGCACCGCTTATTACACAGGGTGTGGCTGGGCCGTGGGCAATGCTGAAGGTTAGGCGTCTGACGGTCGGGTTGGTCCTGTTCCCCTGGACTCTCCACCTGCCCTTGGAGTTTGTTCTCCTTAGATGAGGCGTCCTATGGAGAGCAGGGAGGACAGTGTAAAAGCAAGAAGTCAGAGTTGGGTCCATGAGAAATCCAACTTAATGGGTCTCCCCACAGGAGCAGCCCTTTCCACCTGCCGTCAGGTATGGGGCTGAGTGGGGCTCAGGCAGCCTAGACTTGCAGGTAAGCACATTTTACACTGGTGAGTGAAGTCGGCTTGGCATTCCAGAGAACGAGGCTTTGCTAGTGAGCACAGGCTGGGGGAGAGGGGCGCACCCTGCACAAATCACACCACTCTCAGAGCCCAGCCTTTTAACCTAGGGCTGGGGTGGAAAACAGCAGATATTTGTTTACCAGTGGGGATGGCAAAATCTTCTTAGCACTAACTCCACCTTTGTCTTGTGTCCTCACTAAAAATCGTAAAAATGGGAGCCTAAGTCATGTGGCCAATCCCTTCCCCCCGCTACGCTACAGAACTTCATCAGGGGGTCACAGAGAAGCTCAGAAGGAAGGTGACTTACTGAGTGGGTTTGTGCTTGATTTTCCCAGGGGAAGCTGCCAAGACTACTACCTGCAACAAACGGGAACATGTGACACTCAAGTGGCCTTGACCCAGAGAATTGGCAGAGCTTCTCCTATACCTGGGTTCCTTCCCCTCTGATCCAGAGTGAAGAATGGACTTGGGAAAGAGCCTGCAGTTATGTGGCCCCGCGTCCTGTTCTGTGGGTGCCTGTGGCTGGGCTCTGCCCAGGCGGGCTCTTCACTGGCCAACAGTGTAAGATCAAGCTTTTGCTGGGTGCCTCTGTGAAGTCCCTTTAGCTATTTGACAAAAAGGACTTTGATGCTGATGGACACTTGTAGAACCTTCCTGGGTCTCTGTTTCCCGAGTTACACAATGTAAGAGGTGGAAGGAATCTTAGCCACCATGGTGTCCAGCACCTTTACTGGACAAATATGGAAGCAGAGGCTCAGAGTGGACAAGTGACTTGCACGATCCGCTCCTCTTCACAGGGTACCAAGCAGTTCTGGAGACTGGCTGTGCCTGCTCCTGCAGGGCCCAGATCTCTGATCAGGGGCAAGCCCAAAAGCTGAACTAAGCCCTGGCCCTGTTGTAAGGCCGTGTGACCCCATACACAGCTGAAAGCTCGGGTGGGCCTGTAGGGTGGGCGTGGGGACCAGAACCCTGCTGCTTCTGCTCTTCCTCCCTCACAGAGCTGCCTGAGGACCTGCCACCTTCACGGAGGAGCAGAGGGGTTTGTAAAGTGAACAGAGCTGCAGAACCTAAGCCCTCGTGCTGGTCGTGTGACCCACAGCTCAATGTTCCCCTCGTTATGCCAACATCCCTTAAGACCTGAGAAGGAACAGCAGAACACAGGGTGGAGTGGATGCAGGGGGGATGTTGGAACATTCTATCTTACAGATGAGGACACAAACCCAGAGAGTGACAAGCCCAAGGCAGACAGGTGGGAGGTAGCAGAGCCAGGCTGCACTCTGAATCCCACCTCTCCTCTGCTCCCCCTGCAGCTGCTACCCTCCAGGCTGAACGGAGGGGCTGTCATGTCCAGGGAGAGGCCTGCGGCAGCCCTGTCCACCAAGCTGAAGCTGCAGCGAAACGTACAGCCAACAGCCAGCAGCTGACTTTTGTAGACGCTTACTATGCCCGTCCTTCACTCGAGTCCTATCACTTTATCCTCAGGGGAACTTTATATGATAGTGACAAAATTTTCCCTATTTTAATGAGATTGAGGCTTGGTGATGTCCAGTAAGCTACCCAGGATGGCTCAGCTTCCACATGGTAAAGCCAATTCAGAGTGGTCTCTCTGCCTACAGAAGCATGCTGCAGACCACCAGGGAGACCCAGAGCCTGAGCCCAGAGCAGGTGGCATGCTCAGGCAATGTTAAAGGATGAGCTAGCATTTCTTGTCCCCCTGCCGGCCTCAGAGGATGGTAACGTTAATCCCAATGAAGGCGCTTTACAAATTGCGAAAGGCCAGTTATGGAAGTGGCCCCAGCTCTCAGAATGCCTAGTCTTTTCATGCTGTGCAGAGAATTCAACTTCCCAATGAGAACTCTGGTTGGTAAAAATGTCTATGTTCGTGCGGCATTTCCAAAAATTCAATCCCTCAGTCCCCAAACTATATTCGCCCCAAAGCTCCAAATCCCCCCCCCCACCAACCCTGCTTCTGCCCTCACCAAGTGTGCAAGTCCCTCTCAGCCCACCAGAGGGCACCACATGATCCCAGATGACCAATGCAACTAACTCTGAACTCTGTCCCCTGGGGCAGCTACACCACCCACCCAGGTGGCTTTTCTGTGCTCCCCAGAGCAGAGGGGCAGAGAGGGCTGCCAGTCATGCCTTCAGCCCCGGCTGAGTCGCACAACTGTATTTATCTCTTTGTGCAATCACTACTTACCAGGGACCATGCTAAGTTCTTCACCTGAGTTACATCATTAAACAGTCACCAAACCTGTGACATAGACACTGTCATCTCCATTTGACAAATGAGGAAACTGGGGCTGAAAGAGTTGGGGTAACTTGCCAAAGATGGCAGAGCTGAGATTAAAAGCCAGGGCTGTCTGACTTCAGGGGCTCCACTCTCACCTCCTGCCCCACCTGCACCTAGATCATAATCTCCTCACCTCACTTAGGGCTCTCAATAGCAGCGTGGCCCCTGCCTATGAGGACACCATGGGGTTCAGCACTCGGGGTGCTGGTGGCACCCTGCCCCCTCTCTGCTCACGTCACCCACCTGGCCACTCTTTGGGCTTCCTCAGGAGAGCAAGACTAGCTTGCTCATACTAGATGACATCTTCAAACCCTCATGGAGGTGACAGCAGTCTGGCCCAGGAACCCTGAGGCCAGGCTGAGCACCAGCAATGTGCTGCCTCACATGAAACCCTGAGCAAACTGCTCCTGCCCTCCAGAAGACCTCAGGGTCTTGGCACTAAGGCACCATGGGTCTGGAGCATTGTGTCCTGAGGTGTGTGTAGAAATGGCTAGTGGAGAGAGAACAATCCTGTTCCATGTCCCTGTGGGCCACCAAGCTACACAGGCTCCTTGCCCTGCCCTGCTTGTCAATTCTACACACCCTCTGCCTCTTTCCTCCATCGCAAGCTTGCACACACACACACACGCACAGACACGCATACAGGCATAGGCACAACTCATGTATACGTGTGTGCAGATATGCACATGTACACACAGGCACACTTAAAGACATCTGCACAGACCATGAACACAGTGACACACACAGATGGGCACATGCAGACCCACAGAGACATATATACACACATAGGCATAACACACATACACATGTGCACAAACCATGCACACACACAAACATACACAAAGACAGGTACATGCTCAGGCACATTCACAGAGACATGTTCAGATGTACACATACAGACACCTGCAGAGACATGGCCACACGCAGCACTCCTGCCAGACTTGCAACCAGGCAGGTGTTTGGGGGGCAACAGGATCCTGAAGCTCCCTGGTCCCCCTAGTCCCACCTTTGGGGTAGAAGGGTCAGGAGCGTGTCAAGCCACGCAGCACTGACAGTTGTAGTGCAAAGCACTCCAGGGGCCTCTGTGGGCAAAGCTTACAGATAATTGAAGCTGATACCTGTCCCAGGCTGAGACTGTGGTCAAGGAGCAACATCAGATGACCAGCACTCCCAAAACGCCTCATTCTAGTTCACAGTTTTCCCTGGATACTTAGTTCTGGTCCTGTGCATAAGCTGGGATTGGTAGATGCCTGGCACCTGGCTTCAGAGGAAGGCTAGGAGAGCTTGCCAAGCTCACCATACTCAGCCTTCCCATGTTCTATGTGGTGTGCAGGCCAGAACTACCAGCAAGGCAAGGGGACCGAGGGCAGGGTCAGTATAGACCAACCCCCTCAGCCTAGGAGTATTCCTGAGGCCTGGGGTCTCTTTCTAGTCAAGGCCATTGCCTGCACTCTGTGAAGTGAGCAGAGATCCCAAGTGTGACAAAGCATGATGTCATCCCAAGGGCAACCCTCATCCTCTCACTCCTTCACTCATTCATTCATCTGACCGCTACTAAGTGCCATGTTCTGTGCCAGAGCTTAGCCATTGAGAAGACAGGATCCGCATCTTCAAGGGGGCATCAGAAAAGTAAATGGCAATGAGGTGTGATAAGTGCTACTGAGAGAAGTGAGCTCTCATGATGAAGAGCAGTGACACCAAAGCTCTGCGGAGTTCTCCCGATGTCTCGGGCACTGGTAAACCCTCTCACTTGCTGTCCCATTTAATTAATGCAATAGCCTTTGAGCAGACTCTATCATTATCCCCACTTTACACGTGAAAATACTGAAACACAGAATGTTTGAGTAATTTGTACAGGTTGAGAATCCCAAATAAGAAAATCCCAAATCTAAAATACTCCAAAATACAGAACATTTTTAGCATCATTGTGATGCTCAAAAAGTCAGCATCACCCAAATCTGCATCTTCAGCCCAGACCCTGCTCTACAGACCCCCTCACCCTTCAGGTGCATCCAACGTGACACCTGTAAATGGCACTGACCTTCCCCAGCTCCCCCCTCACTCCCCTGTTCCTTCCATGTTGCCCAACCCAGTGGGCAGTCCCACCCTCCAGCTGCCCAAACCAACCACCTAAACCCACTCTACCACCAGCCTATCCACTTCCCTTCACCCCCACTGCTGTGCTGTTCATCACTCAGCCCTCCACTACCTCTTCTGTGGGCCATGCCGTGCATCCCACTGCGTAACTCTGCCTGGCTCAGCTCCGATCCATTTCCCATCCTGCAGCCAGAATAACTTTTTAAGCAAAACTGATCCATCATTTCCCTGACTCAACTCCATCAACAGCTTTCTGCTGCCCTTATAGTCTAAACTCTGTCCCCTGGATTAAAAATCTCTCCAACCTCATGTTGCCCAGCACCTGCCACCTTCACGCCACTTTAAAATATGCATTCATCACACAACATCCTTCAGTTCCTTGGAAACCCTGTTTGCTCACCTCCAAGGCTTCACTCCTCATCTGCCTCAGCTCAGAACACTCTTCCCTTCCCGGCCTCCCTGCTGGGCTCCCTCCCACCCCTGCCTCTGCTGTTGGTTCACAGCACAGATTGGCGATGCATCTGTAAAAGACTGGACAGTCAATATTTTAGGCTCTGGGGGTCATGTCCAGTCCTTGTTGCATAATCTTTTGTTAAAAAAAAATTACAGCCATTCGAAAATGGAAAAACCACTATTAGCTCACAAGTCAAGCAAAGGCAAGCCATGGACCAGACTGGACATGCAGGCCACGGTTTGCTGAGCCCAGGCATCATTCCCCTCACAAAGGGTTCCAAGGCTGTCTGCCCCTTAGTGACTTAGGTGCCCCTTCATACCCTCCTGCAACTCTGCACTCGTTCTACTGTGACAGAGGCTATTGACTGTTCCCCCAAAGCCATACTCCCCTCCTCTTTCTGGGTTCCCAGCCGCCATGCTGCTCAGTGTGCTCAAGTGACTGAGCTCCAGCCAGAGAAATAGGAGATGGGATGTGTGTCATTTCCAGAACTGGCCCATAAAACTCCCTCCCGTGCACAGCTCCACGTGCACTCAATCTGGTTGACTGGCCATGAAGATGATCCCCAGGGTATCCTTGGGAGTCCCATGATGAAGATGGCAGAGGTACTCTCAGCCTGGTTCCCAGAGGGACTGCATGAACACTTTCATTCCTTCCCCTACACACACACACACACACACACACACCACAATCTGGAAGCATGCTGAACTATTACATGGGCAAGACAAAAAAAATCTACTGTGTTGAGTCAGCACATATGGGTCCCCTGGTTGCTGCAGCCTGGCCAACCCTCACGCTCACACGCTGCTAACCACAATGCATGTGAACCCTCATTTAATATCCGTCTCTGTGCAAGGGCAGGGACAATCTCACCTCTGTGTCAGGCATCCAGCATGAAGCACAAAGCACTCCCAGGACACAACAGTGTAATACACATGCACCTAGGATCTCATTCACTGGGAGAGCCCTTGGTCCCTGCGCCTGGTGGCAGCAAGTAACGAAAGGCCTAGCGTCTAGGGGACAGCACTCACCTTCCTTGCTAACACCCAGGCAGCCCTTCAGCTCAGGCAGTGAAATGACCTTGTCCTTGTTCAGGTCACAGTAGTCAGTGAAACGCCGGGCACATTTCTTGGGCTTGGCTTTCTTCTTCACGTAGCGCTTGAAGGGCTTCATCTCACGCTTGTTAATGTCGCTGCTGCTGTTGCTATCCAGCTGGCTGAAGTACCAGTGCACCACTCGCTCCTCCAGGGTGTGGCTGGGGTCTGGCTCCGAGAACCTGGGCCATGGACAAAAACCCCACCCCCACCACAAAACACTGCTTAGGGTCTTGCAGGCACCATCAGCCCATGAGACCCCTCACGGGCGCTACTCAAGATCCAGCCTCACCCATGGCAAATCTCCTCAGGAGGTCCTGTGCCAGGGCACTGGTGCTGGGCTGCTGGGGGCCAGGTAGAGGAGGCTTCCCCAAGCCAAAGCCCACGCTGGGAGGCTCAGCTTACGGCAGCATCGGGCCACCTCCCCGACTTGGATCTCAATCCTCTTCTCACCAAGTGGGCGATCCTTAGCACACGAGCACGCCCCCCCCTGCCACAGCCAGAAGTGCGCTTCTACAGGATAGGTACTCGAGACTAACTGGCTTGGTCTACTTCATCTGAGTAAACCACAGCTGGAATCCAAGTCGCCCTTCCGCTCACTGGCCTACCACTCACTGCAAACAAGCTGCTCTTCACGTACGCACATGTACCCTCAGGTGGCCGTGGCCGTGGGAAAGGGTGCTCCACCACGCCTAGGGCCAGGCCAGCTCCCGGGGGTGCACCTCGGGCCTCCAGCTGCTCACTATCTCTGTGAGACAGGCTGGAGCTGTGAGCACAGGCAGTTTGTGACATATGGAGCTCCCACAGTCCCTGGCTGCCGGGCCCCAAGTGCGGTGGGAGTTTAGAGAAGAAGGCAATCTGGGACAGACACAGACAGAAGTCCTTAACCTGGGTCACACCCCTACTAGGGGTGAGTCTCTCCAGCTTGAGGTTTCCAATTAGGAGGTCTGGGGTGGGCCCAGGAGACGCCACATGTGAACCAACACCCCCAGGTGGTCCTGCTGAGAAACCCTGGACTAGAGTAACTGAGAACACTGCCTGGAGCCCAGATGTGCAGTCACGACCAGCACAGCCCACGTTGTGACCACAAAGCTGCCAGACTGATGTCTATGTGTGTAACCAAAAGCAAGGGCCTGCCCGTGCATTTTATTTGTTTATTTATGGCCTATCTTTTCCCAAAAAGGAGTCACGGTGATATCTACAATTTATAATTTTTAAAGCCAATGGTGGGTCTGACTGGGGTCTCTGACCAGAGAATGGAGCCACAGGGGTCCCCTGCTTGTGTTCCTGGGGCTTGGCATGGAGTGACTATGGTCTAGGCCCATGTGCTCACATTCCTGGGCAACTTCCCCTTGGGAAAGAGAATAAGGTTAAGGTCAGGCGTCCCACACATTCAAATCCCAGAGTTCTAGGGCCTTCCAGCACATTCTGAAGCTGTACCTGGTGAGACCATTCCAGGCACTCACCAAGGCCACCCTCTCCCTCTGGGGTTTGTCAAGTTTTCCAGGAGGGGGGATCATCTCTGATCTTTCCCCTGTGAACATGCCAGCAAACTCCCTCCCCTTCTCACCCCTCAAGTGACCTCAAAGTTCAGGGCAAAAGAAGTTTCCTTATTAAAAAAAAAAAAAA